AAATGACCAAGTAACAACTAGTTGAAAACTAGTTGAAATGATTGTAATTATATATTAACCTTATTCAGCCTATTATAATTTTAAAGAATTCTTTATAATAACACATATAATCATGTCGGATGACGATTTTATGCTCGAGGACGATGAAGAGGAAGACTACAATTTCGATTATGAAGATGACGATCCAGAAGAACCTGACGTTAATTTAGAAAATAAATATTATAGTGCAAAAGGTTGTCACATGCATTAGGCAATAGTTATATATCCCTTTGATTGAGTCATTTTGAATTCATTATTCAGTTTCTAGCATTGTATTTAATATATTTCATTTTATCGTTTGATCCAGCTCGGAAAGAAGAAGATCCTACCGGTGCTATTAAAGAGTTTCAGAGTGTGGTGGATACAGAGCAGGAGAAAGGCGATTGGTAATCCGATTTCGATGATCGTTTCATGATAACATTGAAAATTGTAGGCTCTTATCAACCATTTTTATAAATGCAGGGGTTTCAAGGCACTCAAACAGATGGCGAAATTATCTTTTAAAGCTGGAGATCACGAATCAGTAGGTTTTTGCAATTGGTTCTTTTTTTTGATATATACATATATGATTGAAAAATGTTTACGAAATAATTATATCATCATAGACGCTCAAATATTATAAGCAACTTCTTTCCTATACGAAATCAGCGGTGACGCGAAATTACAGTGAAAAAAGTATAAACAATATACTTGATTTTATTTCTTCTTCCCAAGATATGAGTTTCATGGAAGAATTTTATTCAACAACCCTTAATGCATTGGAAGAGGCCAAGAATGAGGTTAGAGAATTTTTCTAAATAATATTTTTGTTAGTATATAAATGTGTAACATTTATACCTTTTTTTAGAGGTTATGGGTCAAAACCAATCTCAAATTGGCAAAACTTTGGCTTGATAGGAAGGAATATAATAGGCTGAATAAGGTTAATATATAATTACAATCATTTCAACTAGTTTTCAACTAGTTGTTACTTGGTCATTT